GAAGAACATCGATGTCACCACTTAAACAACTCCTGCTCCCTGCTTTGCATTACCTTTACCAGTTCATTGACCCATGTATCCCTCTGGTGCAGATGGTATAGCACCTTGTGCCTGGTCCTGGCCATGCCCTGCCCATTTTCTGGACTGGCAACGTGTGGTAAGATCCTAACCTTTATCAGTCCGACAGGCCCTGCTGCTGCGGACACACGCTCCACGTCTGATCCTTATGCCCAGGTTCCTGCATTCACCATATGCCCAATTGCATCTTCACCTCCGCACACACACACATTAAATGCACACACGGACGCCTACGCTGGCATGAGTGACACATCCTGACCTCTAGCTGTTCCACCTCAGATCAGCAGAAGGGAAGCCACATGCAATGTGAGAGGGGACTTTGGGGTCAAGGAGGTGCGTTTGGAAAGCAGCCACATTGCGAGACCTGCATGGCCAACACAACTATTCACTTGACTGTCTTGACTTGCTTTTATACTTACTCATAAAAGAAGCAGTCTTATTCAAATAAATACAAACTTTGGCATATAACTACTTGGGAAAACAAGCATGCACTATAGAAGTTGTTCTTGCGTAAAGGACGATCAAGTTAGGAAAAAATTGCTCCTTTTCTTGTATGCTTTTACGATTTTTGCTTATTTTTAATATGGCATAATGAATACTTTTTAAAACATCAATCATTTAGCCTGTTAAGAGTAGACTTTTGTATATCATGTGTATCAAAAAGTGTAATTAGGTACTTTTTTTTAATCTTTTTTTTCTTTCTCAGAAGAGTAGCACAGTAGTACCTCCCATCCACACAAGGCTGGGAGCTTAAAATTAATATAAAGGCTCTAAAGATGATTGATAAGGAAAGGGACGAAGAACTAATGTTGTATTTCTAGTCCAGAAACTGTTCAATTGGCAGAACAGTAAAATCATTAACATGTGATTATGTAAGGGAGCAGGGATATGAATGCACTGTAGTGAGACACTTGTAATCGGGAAGAATGGGCAGTAAGCGATTGTGATCACTCTGGAACAGGAAGACAGCGGTGATGGATGGAAAGTGGTCGGCTCGGAGGCATGAAGGTCACGCTCGATGACAGTGCCACTGTGTGTGTGTGTGTGTGTGTGTGGAGTGTGGTTCTGTTGAATCAACAGACAGGGGAGCTGAGAGTAAGACTAAAAATACATCGTGTGTGTGCGCGCGCCTGTGCGTGCGTATGTGCGCCCTTACTCATTAGTGGTGACAATACCATGTGGATTATGCCACGTCGCCTGACAAATTCCGCAGATGCACACGCGCACACATCGGCGCCAAACACCCCTGCAAAGGTGACACAAGCGCCCGCTAGCAAGTTTACTCATTGCAGTCAAGGGCACACCTGTGCATGTGTGTATGAAAACAGTCCACCTGGGCACAAGCAGTTTGACACGACCTCGATTTCTCATCCATCAAGCCAGGCTCTCCTCTCATTCCTCACTACAGCGCATTTCTATCTGTTTTACCCCCCTTGCTGGATGTTTTTGCTCTCAGAGGTTTACATCCCTGTTCTCTTTTTTTTAATCCTCTCTAACTTCTCTTTTTCGTCACCCCTTGTCCTTCACAGCCTCTCTCTGTCCTCTGTCACACTCCCTCTGTTCTCTGCTCGCTGTGATCAATTAGGAGACATTAGTCCCGCAGATATTCCAGGTGACAGAGCCCTCAGGAGGCCACGCTCTCCTTCATCTCTCCCCCTTCTGCCTCCCTTCAGTTTCTTCTCTCCACACCTGGCTGTCTTGTCACTCCTCCTCCTCATCTCCTCTACTTTCCTCAGCAGCGCAAACAACCTCACCCGCGCCCCCCCATCAACCAATCTCACACCTTACAGTACTGACAGTGACATATCAGCCCTCCTCTCCTCTGTCTCTCCACTGATCTATCCTTTTTCTTTCCCCTTTATGTTCCCCTCTGCCCCCTGTGCACCAACTCCATTCCACCCCGTTCCTTTTTCTTCTTCTTCTCTCACCCCTCTCTATCTCGTTCTCTCCAGGTTGCCATTCACAATGATGGACCTGTCTTCTCTCCTGTATGCCAACCGCTCACCTGTATCCTAGCAACCACCTCTCCTTTGGCTCAGGTGCTCCATGCGGAGCAAGCAAACAAGACGCCAGGGGAATGAAGAACAAGCACTCTCGTTTATCCTCCTCCCTCCATCCGTTCAGTCATTCCTTCACACATAAAGAGGAGGCCATACTCCGCTGGAGTTTGAACAGGGAAAAAAAAAAACGCTTTCTGTCCTCCCTTACAAATAAACTCCCTCGAACTCACACAGACACAAATAACGACTCGCAGCTCCAAACGCTTTTTTCATGCTACGTGTGTATGTTTATCTCATCCCCAAGGCTTCATTCTAACAGTAGGACACAGTAAATAAGCTTCACAGAGATACAGCGAGTCAGCTGTGCTCCTGAAACATGCAAAGTCATGTTTTTTCTGAAGATGTCGTCCTCAATTGGCACACACATGTGCGCGCCTGAGTTTCTGGAAGATTGTCAAGCAATTTTTTTTCTCCTTAATATTCATGTGAAGTCTGAATAAAGAAAAAAGAAGGAAAGGCAAATCATTTGAAAGCCAGCACACTCTCAGACACACACGGAGAAGTTAGGAGTTCTCACACACACACACACACACGCCAACCAGCACAAAAAATGAAAAGTGCTGTTCAGGCACATGTGTCTTGGTGTAATTTATGAGTGGGCTCCTGGGCGGACGCCTCAGAGGGGTCCTCTTCACGCTGCATGGCTCTGGGTGCTCTGCACAATCCCCACAGTGAGCGCTGGGCCCCACGCACACATAACACACAAACAAGGTAGTACAAAATCCCCCTTATGAGTAGTGAACTCGCTGCACGATTAACGCTACAAAAAGCATGGTAAACACAAGGGTTTCAGGCTTGGCAGCACTGCTACAGCTTTGTTCAGCGTAGAAAAAACACCGGAGCAAAAACATTTCCTTACAACAGCTGAAAAGGGGCCACAGTTAGCAATAGTAATAATAACAATAAAGTATCATTTCAGCTTTGTTTCAGCTTACTGAATTATAGCCAGTTGGACAATTAAGTTTGGTGGTGAAGCATACACACACACACACACACACACACACACACACACACACACACACACACACACACACACACACTATTTGGCATATAATAAAACTAAACTGAAAAATATACAGAAAGTGGGGCTTAGAGGGAAAAATATTACACTCTATTTCCCCTTAATCATGCAATTCCATTAAAAATGCAATATTATACAGTATACTGACAGGGTATCTGGATAGCTTGCTCTTTTGTGCTGTAAATACACCAATAATAAAAAAGAAAAATCTTTTATAATATAGCTAACAATCTAAAAGTACCTATTATTAAGACAGGCTGTTGTTAGCAAGCTTTATCTGTCTGCAGGTACCCAAAAATTACCGATGGAGTGGTATGAAAAAAAGAAAGGTAGAAGCAAAAATTAGTCTTTGAAACAAATGTGTTTTGATTTATGTCCCCAATTAGATGTTCATTTAACAATTATATGTTCTGAAGAAAACAAATATTTGTGTCATTAAAGCCCCAGGTGAGCTCTGCGCTTCGAGTAAAAGATGAATAACGGGAGGTCTTTGGTCCTTTCTGCTCTCCAGTGCCCTTGAGTACATATGGAGAGGATTTCGGGGGGGTTAGGGGGTATGAGGGCAGCGGTTGCCGTCCTTCGTCCTTCTCCCGGCTTTTGTTTTGTGGCTCCATATGTGGCTGTCTACTGCAGTGTGACCGTGTAAAGCTCAGGAGAGAATGGATCTTACTGTGTGCCCTCGGCAAGAGGCCTTGATCTGCTCTGGAGGACACACTACTGTCAAGGGCACTCCACGGGGGTTACACAAATCACACAAATACTGACACATGCACAGATTGGAGTGCACATGCATGAAATTCGGTAGGCCAGGATGCATACGACACACATATGGGTGCATATATCACAAACTCACTATGGACGGTTAGATCGATGTGGTCACGTTTGGATAAATATATTTATAAATAAAGAAAAAAATGATCTTAATAATATATGTAGAGAGGGTTGTTATTTCTGCTGATGCCACTCTTCCCCCCATCTGTTGACTCTGGTCTCTTGGGTAAGAGGCCAATCAGGGGCTCAGTGGCACATCTGCCTTCTTGCACACACACTAACACAGTGAAATAGACAAACACACAAACATGCACATTCATACATAATTACATTTCCTCATTTTCTGTTCCTCCTCCTTCTATTGTCTTCCTCTCTCCCTCAAACACACACACACACACACACACACAAACACACACACACGCACACAGATGCATAGGTCTGCATTCTTTTGTCCAGTGAATGAGGTCAAGAAGGAATAAAATCCACACCCACACACACACTCCCACACACACTCTAAGCAATGTTTTGTATTTTTTCCTCCCTTCTCTTCACACAGATTCGCCGGTAGACAGCCCATCAGAATCTCTTCCTGATGTGCTGGGTAAGTGCTCTCCTCTGAGTATCTGCCATTCCTTAAAGTATGACTATTGCACGTTGGCTTCAGATCAGTGAAAAACATCCACTTTCCTGCTGGGTCTGTTAGGATTCCTACCTTGACTGATACCTGCTTGCAGAAACAGCCGCAGTATGCTGCGGTTTGTGTATCTTTCTGCCCCTCTAACTGCCTGTGCACTGATGCTGACTGGAGGCCGAGGCTCCAGCTGGGGTTGATTTTGACAGTGCAGCAGTCGACTGAAGTGATAAAGCTCACACCTTCTGAATCTGCTTTGTGTTTTACAGGCAGGGGCTACTAACTTGACACTTTGTCGTGGAGGTGTGGGAGGTTTATGCATTTTAGGTCAATGCGACACAGTGTGTCGACTGAGCTTGTATTTGTTCAGGGGTGTATATATAGACAAAAAATAAAATAAAATCTGGTTAACCCTTTTCATAAAAATGCTTTCACTTACCAATGAAGTAAGACAGCAGGATGGCCAGCAAGGCAGCGGCTGCGATGGCTGTCACCGCGGCACATTTCCAGCTGCAGTACTTGGACGGCTTCTTTAGTTTGAAGGCTGAGCGGGAGAAGGTGTTTCTGGGTAGCAGGCGAGGCGGTGGAGAATACACTGTTCCCGAGGTCAGGGGGTATCCGGGGGAGGAGCTACTGAAGAGAGGGGTGGTCCCTGACGACGTCTTGAACAAAAAATGCCTGAAGATGAGAAAAAGGGGTGAAAAAAAGAAAAGTCAGCACACACAGAAAGACGCTTTATAAAGTAAGTGGTTAAAACAAGCTCTGCTTGAGTGCAAACACACCAAACTATAACCTAATCACCGTCTGGATGACAGGGCATATGTGCAAGCTTCTGTCCAATTTACTTTCCGATGAACCCTTCCTGCCATATGGGTTTTAACATCCTTGAACTGATTGTGTCTCCAATTCAGTGCTGTTCCAGTCAGAGGTCTCTTTTTAACCTCCACCTGCTCTGCCCTGTTTTTTTCCTTCTTCTGTGGCTTCGCTTCTCCTCTGTTCACCCCACTTATAATTTGCCTTGTTTCTGCCCTTAATGGCTGGAGAGGATCACTGCCATCCCCCTTTTGCTGTCCTCATTGTCCAGGTAGGGTCAGAGCTCAGAGAGAGGATAAAAGGGGGATTTGAACCATCATCCCTTTGCTCATATTACCCATTATCCTCTGCTATCACTGCACCTGCTCACCCGCTCACTCTTTCACTGCTCCCCCTACCCCAGCTGCTTTTCCTATTTCTTGTCTTATCTTTTCTTTTCCACTACCACTCCAATATTCCTCTTCTTTCTCCCCCTTTTTTATTCCTATAATCATGTCTTCCCTCGTTCCCCTCCTACAAAAAAAAGTCCCTTTCTTCTTTCGGATTTTCTTTTGTTATCTGACCTTGAAAGAACACTTTCGCCATAGCAAGGAGAAAGACTGCACTTGAAGACTCTTTTAAAGGACACAAGAAGAAGAACTTCAGTGAAACCTTTGTGACATCTTTTGTGGCACGCATGCACACACACAGCCCCTACGCAGACCTCAGGTGGTATGACAGAACAAAGCCCTCAGGTGAGGTGAGTGTGATCTATCAGAGGAGAGAAGGTCACTCCACTGCCTCAGAGATGACTGAACAGAAAAATAAAGTCTTTTGTGCCAGCTTTTTGTGGAACTTGCTTGTTTGTGTGTTTGCTACTGTGTTTGTGTGCACATATGAAGATGCTCTCTGAATGCTCTCCTACTTTTATCTTGTGAATAATGAACCTTGGCCACACAGACATTTCTGCAAAGAGAGGAAATAAATTTTGGCCGTCACTTCATCTAAATGCAGTGTGAGGCCTAGAGTCTGGGTTTTCAGCATTCTGTCATGATTAATGGATAATTTTGGATTATTACAAATGCTAAACTATTTCCATAACTTCTCTGTTAGGATAACATTATCCTCACAAAAAATAATTACTCTGACAGGCCAAAAAAGTGGCGAGACAATAGGATGGGGAGTAAACAAGCCAACAGTTTAGGATTTGGGTAATTATTTTACAATTTGTATGTTTTTCTCTTCCTAAATGTTTGGCAAAGCCAGGGGTTTGTTTAAAATCTGACTTCTAATTTTATCTCCTGCCTAATCAGGCCAGATTCACAGGACTAAGCAGTGACTTGGTGGAATGCATTATGAAGAGGTGGAACTAATTACTACCAAATTACTACTAAGTCTTTATAAATCATGAAAAAACCCCAAACCAACCAGTCTTGAACCCCTAATTTCTGGATGTTTTACTAGTAAAATAGGAAACAGATGCAAATATAAATTAAAACAGAGCATATAAGGCAAAAACAGAGTTTGCGCATATCTAACAAGCTTGAAGATCTGTATATGACCACCTTTATTCTTCATCACAGCATGAACTCTCTTAGACAACCTTTCTTGACATTTCTTTAAGAAGTTTTCAGGAATAGTTCCCCGGGCTTCTTGAAGGACATTCAAAGCTCTTCTTTAGATGTTGGCTGCCTTTTGTGCCTTTTCTCTGTCAAGATGATCCCACGCTGCTGTAATAATGTTGAAATAATTTTTAAAAGAAGAATATCTGAGTGTATATAAGATGCCCATGAGAAAATTACCCGATGACCCACTTGACTTATCAGCTCAGAAAACATTTTCTGGTGACTTTATGGTCTCATTCACTGGTTTTAAGTCTTCTTCAATACAGCAAAATAAATAAATAAATAAAGGGTAGCTTTAGCTAAGATCGGTGCTACTGTATGCATACAGTATCCTGGTTTTCACCTGTTTTTTTCGCTAACCATTACCAGTATTTCTTCTTCAGTCACCTTTCTCACTCACTATGTGTTAATAGACCTCTCAGCACTGAATCATACTTGTTATTAATCTCTGTCTCTCTTCCACAGCATGTCTTTATCCTGTCTTCTTTCTCTCACCCCAACCGGTCACAGCAGATGGCCCCGCCCCTCCCTGAGCCTGCTTCTGCCGGAGGTTTCTTCCTGTTAAAAGGGAGTTTTTCCTTCACAATGTCACCAAAGTGATGATTTTTATATGATTTTTTGGGTTTTTTTCTCTGTATGTATTATTGTAGGGTCTACCTTACAATGTAAAGTGCCTTGAGGTGACTGTCGTTGTGATTTGGCACTGTATAAATAAAGTTGAATTGAATTGATCCCAGTTAATATAATGGTGAATAATGGATAAACCAAAAGCTCTACCCCGTAGTTTAAATATGGTCACATGGGGTTTCAAAAGTCCAAGATAATGATGGCTAAAATGCCAAAAGTAGTCCGCAAATCAGTGGGCAACATCATGACCGTCTATCTTTCATATGCGGTCGAACAAAACACAAAAATCTGAGAAGGTTGCCGGGTTTCTCTTTGACAAGCTGGAGTAAAGCAGATTCCAAGTCCCCAGCCTCGTGCTTTCTCTCTACCTCCACACCATGACAAATGACTCATTCCTGCACAGATGTGTGTCTGAGTTGTCCTCTTTCTTCTGCAGCCTGCTCTCTCTTCTTTTCAGACTAGTCTAATGGGACCAGTAATAACCCACCACTGTTACTGGACTGGATGATCTCTGTTTAAAAAGGTGTTTTACTGCACTTTGTGGTCTTCTATCCTTTTGATCGCTGCTGTTTCATAACAGCATGTCCGCTCATCTGAAAACAGTTGGCAAAACCAGGTGACGTGCTCAGAGCATGAAGATTTAGTTTGGGAGCGCTGTTCCACTCTCTATCAATTATTCAGCCAGTCTGTGCTTTGTCTCTCTCTTTCTCTCTCATCATTTTAAGCCACTGATTGTTGGACTGCTATCTTGCTGGATTTTTTCCCTCTTCCATTGCTTCTCTCCCTGTTCCTCTCTTTTAGCTGTCAGGTATGGCCTGTGACTCCAGGAAAAAAAAAATAGGCAAAAGAGAGAGAAAAAAGCTGAAGACAGATAGAGGCTGAAAGACCACGAGGCGATGACACCCAAAGAAAAAAAGAGGTTATTGTCTAAAAATACCACATCCTCACTCTCACCAACATCAACACATTGTTATGCATTGCATAAACCTATATGCTCTGGCATGCATGCATATATGCTCAAACACACACGCGCGCCGTCCAAGGTCAAGCGGCTCATGTGCTCGTTTCAATTCATTTTCACAGCTGCTGACTCACTGTGATGGCAAGGCCAGCGGTAATTAATGGTGATACTGAAATAATGCACGTGTGAGCACAAGGAGAGGGTGAGCTGCTGAACTGTTTGTATTCTGTGTCACACGAAGCGTATGATTCGATGTGCTGGTATGTGTTTGAACTTAAGCAGTGAAATCATTTCATTCCCTGGCTTTGTTGTTTGTGTGCAGAAGCTCCGCTGTGAGCTTGGTGTGGGATGGGAATATGTCTATGGGCCATACTAATTACGAGTAGGAATGGAAAGTGTCTAATGTGCTCTGGGGAGGTAATTGACATTGATTTATGTTGCTGAGGACTATGGAGGGGTTCTATCATAGCAGGCAGCCGGCAATCACAACTCTGTATCATTAGGCTGGGGTGTGTGCGTGTGTACGCTTGTATTTGTGTTTGTGCTTTTGTGTGTGCCTATTGTAGGGTTTTTGACAGTGGTCCAGCGTGGAAATGTCACACATAATTAGAGAGAGCTGACAGAGATTCCCTTAACCACCGCTACCTCGCTGTCATGCATTCTGTCTTATATATGCAACACACATCCATACAGAACATTAGCCAAAACTGACTCACACACTGACACACATTTACCCGGGCTCACACACAGGCGCCCACCCACGCGCAGTAAAATATAAATTTATGTGGTTATTCTTTCATGAGATTGCCCCGTATGTGCTACCGAGTGTTTAATTTTCATCCTTGCGGAACAAACAGTGACACAAGAGGGGAAGGATAGACAATGGAGATAAAGGCTATAGATTAGAAGACAGAGAGAAGACGAGAAGATGTGTTTTCACTCCGTTCCAACCCCGCTCCCCATTGAGAGAAAAAGAGGACCTGGACAATTAACCACAGAACAGAGAGCATGCTGGGTAATTAGCAGGAAGTCAAAGCTCGCATTCCCCTTGAGCGAACAAACACACACAAGCTTTTTGCATGCCCGCACACACGCACGCTCTTCATATTCTCAGCTCTCACAAACATGCGGTTGCTTAGCATAGCACTTTCAGAGTCATCATCAGATGTAGAGAACAATTAACGGGGGTCTACACGGTATGGGGGTGACTGAAAAACAGTCAGATCTGAGAATGAAACAAAGAGCCCAGGGAGAGGAAGATGCTCAAGGACGGAGTCGTGAGTATTGCTACCTGCTACGATTGTAGGAAAAAAATGTGTGCAGATGGATACAGTAGATTGGGATTCATTTGCTTATTGTTGTGCAGATGAGGGGAAAATTCAGAGTTCTAATGTTCATAAAAAGCAAAATCCAGGCAGATTATGTATATATCTTAGATTTTTCTTTTTTCCTTGCAAACTAGGCGCTGTACTGGGATTTTATCCATTTTTTAATTCTGTTAAAGGAACATTTGAGAGATCCTTTTTAAATGAAGCCAGTTAGGCATTGAGTCATTGACTTTACATAAAACTGGACTTAGCCTCTAGCCTCTTAAAACTGCATTCTTTCTAATGGCCAGCAGGAGGTAACTTCTGTGGGTAAAACGGCACTACTAGTGTTGGGTGGAACGTGTT